TGAACCTGTAATCTGTGTTAACATCACTGGTCATCTCTGATGTACCAGATCATCGTCCTCAACCTTAGGACTAATTTTATCCTCGAGGTAAACCCTCCAGAGCCTTCAGTACCCATTTTTATAGCTAACCTAGGTATCGCTATGACAGAACCAACACTTGTGGTTAGGGCAAACCATTAAACTGCTATGCCTTTATAGAGTTCACTTAGACCCCAGCATCTACTTTACAGCATAACCCCAGTATTTTAGTATACCCTGTCTTTTGTTCAGCCTTTTTATCAAACTTCCAATTCAGATAGCCCATGTAAAACTATGACCAGTTCATCAGTATATCAGGTCAGCCTGATATTCTTTTCCTCCGGTTCATTCTAGCGGCCTGGTTGGTGGTACATCTGGGACCCCAACCTGGAGGTTCTTGCCTGTCTGGCTACTACGACCAGGTACTATGACCTTGGTATCTGTTTCACTGAGCTAGCCTTTACAGTAGAGCTGTCAAAGATTCAGCTACTTCTCTACTCAGGTCTTTCCAAATGGATTTCTTGCTATCCAATTTCAATGAATTTACACAGCCACAAGGACTTATCTAGTGTTTGCACTGCCCGATTTGTCGGTTTACATTCCGCTGTGTAATGCCATACTTAAAAAGATTCTCCATAATCTGCCAGTTATGCTAGTGCAACCACCATTACAGGTATCTTAACCCAATCATTAGTAACAGTTGCAATAATACAAATATTACATAGGTGATTATCCAAATTTTCGCCATTGATGAAATTTAATCACCAAACCTACCACTTGGAGGGTTGACAACCTGACCACTACACTAGGTCGCCACACCACTTCAATAAAATATTTTATAAGTAAACTGTATATTATATTATTAATAATTTATTGTATTATTTAAAAAATACTAAATTTAATTTAAAAATCCAGACAAATTTGCTTGAAAAACAGTTTAAAGGATATAAAATAATAATAATAATAATAATAATAATATATATATATATATATCTGTACATAAATAAGTAATAAGCATAATATTAATAATAACATAAATGTAGTAGTTAAGGGTTAGCTATGACATTTATACGCAGGGTCTGGGGCATATAAATTAATAGTTTGGTATGAAATACTGATATAACAGTTTGCAAAACAATGAAACAACTAGAAGAGATGCCAAAATAAGTCAAAAGAGACCCAAATGCATATAAGTACTTTCGAACTAACTATTCTAAGATGAATTAAATCTACTACCTAGAAATCATCCTTGATTAATTATAAATAAACCCTTGACCCAAATCCATAATCCAGTCCAGATGACGGTGTCCTGGCATATACAAAAAAAAAAAAAAAAAAAAAAAAAACTAACAAACTGAACAACTCCTTATGATGAAATCCAAAGATTATACTAATCTGATTTGATATCTGACTAAGTTAGAACTGTCTAGGGAATATTCAAAAGAACAAAACCAAAAGTTAAAGAATCAGTCCAAATATTACATAGTACAGGAAGAAGTATTGTATTAAAAGAATCATCAAGAGCCTGTTCGACCTTTGAGATTATTGCAGTGTGAAGAAGTAGGAATGTTGCTAAAAGCTTTACCTAATGACTCTACATCTGGCTATTTAAAAGAGGGAGCCACTATAGAAAAGGCATGAAAGTGGTACTACTAGAGTCAAATGATATGGGATATCAAGTGTTATATACAGAGTTGTGATATATATAAATGTCATAAAAACAAAGACCCGAGAAGCACTATATCCAATACAGGTAACACAACCATTTGACTGAGTAGGAATGAATATAATAGGGCCTTTGCCTCTTATAAGAAACAGTAATAGGTACTTGGTAGTAGCAATAGAGTATTTGACAAAATGGCCCAAGGTTTGAGCATTATCTGACTGCATGGCAGAATCTGTTGCTGCCTTTGTATTTGAAGATATAGTTAGCTAACATGGCTGTCCCTGACAGATTTTAACAGATCAGGAAACCCATTTTAAAAACTAGGTTATAAAGAAGGCCTGTAACAGGCCAATATTAAGCACAAATTCTCATCCACATATCACCTCCAGACCAACAATCTTGTTGAATGGTTCAATTGAACCATCTGTGAGGTGCTAGCAAAGTGTGTAAGTTAGTACCAAGGGGACTGAGATAAATATGTGAGTTTCTCTCTATTTGCTTGCAGAACAGCCAAGCATAGTATAATCAAATATGATCACTTTTACCTGATATATGAAAGAGAGGCTATGTTGCCTATAGAATTACTACTGAAAACTTACCCTGTGGATCCTATAGATGATGACTACTATGAGTTCATAGTTTTAGCCTGAACCTTAAAATTGGCAGACGAATTGTTTGAAGTTCAGATCAAGGTATGTGAGCACATTTGCAAGACCCAACAAAAGCAGAAATGAAGCCATGACTAACAATATCCCTTGCAAAGTTTCAGGATCGAAGATAAGGTGTTAAGGTACTGGGCCAAGCTAGAAAAACAATTAGACGATAAGTTAGAGGAAAAGTAGTCAGGACCATACTGGGTGCATGATGTAATAGGTAATGATATATACCAATTATGTATAATGAGAAATGACGAAAGGGTAATAAAGGGGGCAGTGCATGATAGTCAATTAAAATGCTATAAAGCACGAAATAATGACAGAATGAGGTAATGGTAAAATTATATTAGAAAAAAAAAAAATTTTATATATATACAAAAAAAAAAAAAAAAAAAAAAGTAAAGAAAGAGAAGAATAGAATAACATTTCGAAACTTTAAGAAAAATGATCCAACAACTTGTAGACTGAATGGAACCTAATGAAGAGCTAGAGGTTAAGGAGAAGAAAGTGATCTTTCGATACCAGGACCAAGAGATTCAAGAAGGGTTTGGACAAATGGAAAGAAGGATCAAGGCTCAGCAAATCCATGACCATTTGGCTCTGTATCTTCAAGACTTGGACTACCCCATGGGGACTAAACATGCAATGCCTATCGAAGCTGCTGAAGAAACCTAGAATAAAAAACTAAGTAACATATGTAGCAACATCAAAGACCTAAATCCAAGGATCCAATCAATGGCCAAGGTATTGAAGACCTACTATAAAGTAGAAAGCTTGCTGTTTGAAAAAGGTTGAAGTGACGAAGCATGAAGGGAGCTGGCCAAGTGACTTCTGACCCCCAAGGTGGGCTTAGTGTAGAAAATTGCAAAGCGAGTGTATATGTTGTTTGCTGTATGAAGTAAGTAGTGTATGTGTCAAGTTCAGCATATATCAATTTCGGTGTTGAAATGAATATTGGAGAGAGATTTTTCTAAGGTGATGTTGGTGAAAGCAGGAAGGTTGAGAGAGGAAAAAATTTGAAAAATGGTGATGAGTTCACAGGATCTCACACTTTGAGTAAAGGAAGATGTTATGAAATTTTTTTGCCTTACTTTGCATTCTCTTTCATTATCTGTTTATATGTATTAGCATAGCATAGTAATAAGGTTCAAAACCCTCATAAATGGTTTGTATAAACAAGTTAGTATAGCATAGTATTAGGGTTCAAAACCTCAGAATAAGGTATGAAACTCTGCATTGTGTATTTTGTAGTTAGCATAATGTAGTAATAAGGTTCTAAACCCTAATATCGGGTTTGAGACTCTAATCTAGGGTTCCTAACCCCAGGTACAGGTCCAAAACCCCAGCAGAAGGTTTGAGACCCAACCTTAAAAATTTGTATAAATAGGGCATATGCCCAATAAATAAAGATTAATTTTGTCAAGTTAATAAATAATAAGGCATAAACTAAGACCCTAATAGTATATCTAAAGTAATAAGTGATAGTCTTGTCTAGCATAGTCTAGTAATTGACCCTTAGACGACAACCTGTTAGTGATAAGCATGTGACATGTAATGACCTACCAACAATCTAGTAATTGGGACTAGTAAAATCTTGCTTATGCTTGTAGTACTGTGCTAAGACCGACAACATATAAGAAAGGCTCTTCACTACTATAACAATATCAATTGCTAACTATCTACATAGTATCAATTTATATGACTTGGCCAATTACTCTAATAATATCTACAGTACATGGCAAAGTACTAGATATCAAAACAGAATAGACTATATCTGAGCTGATAACTCATTAATCTCATATTTACACAAATTTGAATTTGACAATTCATTATTATCAACAAATAGTGATCATCAAATACTAATATCTATCTGAAAATTTTGATTTGCTATATATAAAGCCATAAACAAAAACACATGCAAAAGAAGAACATATAACTACAAAGCAATGACTAAAGAAAACTGGGAAGAATTCTCAAACCAAGTCAAAATCAATATAATAGAATATGAAGTACCAATAACAACAGATGCTACAAAAAGTCTTGAACATACATGGCACAAAATAGATATCTGTATAACTAAAGCAGCTCTTAAACACATCCCAAACAAAAAATATATCATTAAAAACTTTTTTTATACTTTTACACCAAAAGCTACACAACTACACAATGATCTCAAAACTATTGGACACATTATGCATCAAGTTAAAAAGCATTTTACACATAATACTACTATACCTGACAATATATAGAGCCTAATTGACCAAATCAATATAACATACAACTTTAGCATCAACCCATCTCCACATCAACAATCCAATTTGGCCACATGGATACAAGAAACAAAACTTTGCTGGAAAACACTCTATAATGCCAGAAACCTTGAAAATGCACAACACCTATGCAACCATATTAATACAGCAATTGACAAAAGATATGAATAATTACTTACACAACTAACAAAAATGATTAATAGTATACTAAATAGATACAAAGAGCTAGTGCATTTTCACAATATCAAAATTGACTCAGACATTATTACTGATCTTAAACTAATTAAGCAATACATTTCAGATCATTTTAATGAATAGACAGTACATCATCCTTACAATGAACAAATATTCAATAAATACTGGCAAACAGAATATATACAAACTCAAAAATCAACCCTGAATGATACAATTCTGCACTTGAACATATTAACATAGAAGAACTTACACAAACTATCTAACAACTTCCAAATAACAAAGCCTGCAGATCATTAGGAATTAGTTATAAGATGATTAAGCATATCAGAATAGATATGCTAACTGCACTTATAGCATTCCTTAACAGATGCCTAACTCTACAAAACATTTCAAAACAATAGAAAAAAAGTAGAATATACCTGATATCAATAAAGCCACAATTTGATGAAAATCTTAACAATATCAGACCTATTACTTTAGTTAAACATTCTAAAAAAGTTTGTACAAAAATCCTTACTAACTGCTTAAACAAAATCCTTACAACTCATCCTATCTTAAATCTACATAATTATATCACACTTCTAGGCAACTTAACTAACAACCCTATACATATACTTAATAACTTCATCAAAGATGTAATTTGTACTAAAAAACAAATTTGGATCCTATTACAAGACATGAGTAAAGCTTATAATTCAGTTAATATTCAACTCTTTAACAAAGCATTACAATAAATACATATGCCTACATGTCTAGTCAATACTATAATTAATCTACTTCAAAACTTTTCCAATCAAGTAATTACTAACTTCAGCCCTTCTCCTTCATATAAAGTACAGGATAATATTGACTAAGAAGAAACTATAATACCTCTTCTCTGGTGCATTTACTATGATCTGCTTATTAACAATATAAACAAAAGTACACTGGTTATACCTTAACAAACAAATAGATCTCTCAACTTAACCCAATAAAATATCAATCAACAACAACTTCAACATCAACCTTGGCATATATGAATAATACATTATAGTTAGCTAAAACCAAAAAACAACTCCAAGAGATAGTACAAACAGCATCAAAGCTCTATACCATGTCTCACATCAAAGTTAACTCACATAAATCTATTTTAATCTCTAATACAAAATTAACTCCAACTATC